CGTCATATTAGAATTCAAATTATAATACATATATGATATAAAATTCATATAATTAATCATAGCATTAATTATATTAAGAATTGTTTCCATAAATGTTCCCTCCATTCTGTAATCGTACAAAATACATTCCAATAAATAAACAATGAAAGGATGATCGAAGGGGAGACAAGCCATTTAGACTCTCTCTTGGTTCCCTTGATAGTAAAGTTTTGAGCCACTCTATTTTCTTTTCTCTCCTTCACTCAACTCTAACTCTCGAAGTGAGTTCACAAAGAGACAATCTGGGATTAAACATCCTCAAAGGCGGTGTGGTGAGCGTGGGCATGCCACGAACGAGAAGCGGAGCTAACTATGAAGGAGAAACTTCCCAAATAGAGATAACACACATGAAATCCAACAAAGACTCCATGCAATCAAACATCCGTACACATGGCCTGGGCTTACAAGCCAAATGAGCCTCATGATGTAGTAATTTTAGTTCCTCTGTGCAGCAATCACCTAGAGGAACGATCAAGCGCCTCTTCTGGAAGCGAAACCCCAAAGGGTTCGTCCCCAAAGGCCCCCACTAAGGAACCCGCTTATCCCGCACAACCAGTTCAACAATCAGCAGTCAGAGAGACAAGGTGAGTATTAACAGACCGACATAGCCGCATTTGCATAGGCGAACATGTGATGGAAAGAACAGATGCAAGTGTTTATCTGGCCGCCTAAAGGAGGGGTCTTTACTCGTCACATGAAAGAGGTGAAACCTCCGCCCAAGCTAGGGATTCCTCGCTTAGATTCTTTCAAAGAAAGGACCGACCTGATCTACCACGTCGATCATTCAAATCATTTGTCGGTCTACTCTAGATTGGTGACCATATAATATGCGGTCTCTTCTTAACCACCCTAAAAGAGTCGGCCCTTACCAGTTTAAAAAACTCTTTGTTTTGCATTTCTTAAACGTGTAGAAGTCGAGGAAAGACTCGAACACCCTGCTCAACCTCAAGCAGCGAAAAAACGAGAGCATACGGGCCTATATCACCCTCTTCCAGAACAAGATGCTGAAAGTTAGAAATCTAAAGCCGAAAATAGCTGAAAAAGCTTTGAAGCAAGGAGCCTGAAACAAGCAATTCAGTTATGACATAAATTTGTTTAACCCTACTACTTTTGTAGAAGTATTGAAGATGACAAACTAACACATACTGGCCAAATAAGACCTCCAGGGATCTCCGAAGGGCAAGTAGGATTCGTCCGAACATCCCATGAAGAAGAGGTAAAAATGAGGCGAATTGCGAAAGACAAAGGACAAACAATCCTCTTATGGTCATTGGAACAACAACTCTTGGTCCCAGGATTATCAGATGAATGACCGAGGCAACCATGACTGAAAGCAACACTCTGAACAACGATCAGTTCCTTCCTTTTTGTAATTGTACAAAATGCATTCCAAGAAATAAGAGGCAAAAGAATGACCAAATGAGAGGCATGCTGATAAGAGGCAAAAGAATGACCAAATGAGAGGCATGCCATTTGGACTCTCACCCAGTTCCCTCAGAGGCATGCTGACATGTAAAGTCATGACACTCAAATTTATTTTATTTCCTTCACTTGACTCTAACTTTCGAGGCATGTTGACGAAGAAATAATTTGGCATTCAACACGTACATAGTACTTTGATATTTTACATATAATCATCTGATAAGAGTCTCAAGGCAAGGCATGTATCGTGTGGCACTTTTTTTAGCAAGGAACGTATAAACTTCAATTAAAATTTATCCAGAACTCAAATTTTAACAAACATACAACAAAATTGATGGGTTGGACAAGATAAACATAATGACACCAAAATTGGTCTAATCCAAGTCAAATCAAGCCCAAATCAGCCGTTAAATCATTTTTGGAAGCTTTTGGTGGAGAATTAGAAGGTCAAACAAATCTCAAACTTGACAATTTTAAAATCACTTCGAGTGTTTCGATGAGATAAATCTAACGAGCCCAAGATCATTCAAATCCAACAACCTTAAGGGACTCAAACGCCAAAGAATATTATTCGATCATGGGAATTTCTTTGGGTCATCCAATGACGTGATATGAATTCTTTTCTTATTTGTCAGGTTTCTCCGTGGAGCCATACCCTCTTCATGAGTAGTGACCAACATTGTAGAGTAATGAAGCACTACGCGATGTAACGATCAACATCGTGGAGCTGCAAAGCACTCTACGAAGCAATGCGTTATTCGAAACACTGTGTTGCTACCTGCTTCAAAGATGATTGACCGAAATTCTGATAACTGCAAACCCTCCCGACAGTTGTGCAATGAGTTCTCTTGCATACTCTTGCATACAAACACTATAACAATGTGATATTTTCCCGCCAATGGGACAAGGGCCTATACATGTACTCATCAAACTATAATTTATTATTTCTGGTTGGGTTAGACCGTATGATTTTTTTTTCTTTCCAGCTTTTCTACGCAAAAAAACTTCTTGTATCTCTACCTATCATTTTCATTAACTGAATGCGTTGGATCTCCGTTCAATGCTAAAGCGCTAAATAATCACTTTGTCATCATAAATCTTCTAGCACGCATCAATATTATTATCTATTTGAAAGGCGATATGGTAAAATTAATGAGCTTTTATCAGAGAAAAATTCTTCCTAAGTATAAGGAAGTCACTGTTAGATGAGAAAATATTACTTTCTTCATTTAGATGTTACGACGATAAAATGAATTGCACCACGACACTCACAATATCATAGTAAACATAAATTATCCGGTATTAATATTTTCATAATTTAGAGAGTATGTCATGCATTGCAACTCTAAAGGATGATGGCAAGTCAGCATTTGTTGGTTTAGGTTACGACAATATTTTTCAGATTTTTTTTTACTTGAAGAGACTTTTCATCCCCATCTCTTGGCCTCAGTGGTAGGAAACCAGTGGAAGCCATGGCCTCCTACGACAGGGAGACCGAGATAAAGGCCTTCGACGACACCAAAGCCGGCGTTAAAGGCCTGGTGGACGCCGGCGTTACTCAAATCCCTCCCTTCTTCCGCCTGCCGCCGGGCGCTTTAAAAAGCCCCGAGCCGACCTCCACCGCAAGGGCTGAGATTCCGGTCATCGATCTCGGAATAATCAACGGAGACCCGGAGGAGCGGGAGAACGTGGTGGAGCTCGTGAGAGGGGCGGCGGAGAGGTTTGGTTTCTTCCAGGTGCTGAATCATGGGATTCCTCAGTCTGTGCTGGACGAGATGCTGGAAGGCGTCAGGAGGTTTAACGAGCAGGAATTGGAGGTGAAGAAGCGATATTACACGCGAGATAGTAGCAAAATTGTGCGATTCAACTCCAATTTTGATCTGTACCAATCGCCGATGGCGAATTGGAGGGATTCCCTTGCCTGCACATTGGCACCGGAGCCAGCCGCTAAGCCGGAGGAGCTGCCCGAAGTTTGCAGGTACTACACTCAATCTTAACTTCTTCGATTGAAGCGCACACCTACTTACTTAGAGGCTGTTTGGTAGCCGGTTTTGAGCAGGATTTTCGCAGCATTTAGGCTAAATCCAGCCAAACGGCAAAAATGGCGACTGTAACGCGAAGGTTGGTTCATCTAGGGCTATGGTTTTGAGGGAAACCGGGGAAGAGAATAGGTTTGTGGTCGGAGCATACTGTTGGTCTGTGTGCCCCATGCCTGGCCTGAGACCAGTGGAGGGGATATGTGGCGGCCCTTGGCCTGTCTGAAACCCTCACCATCTTCCCTCACTCTGGGCCTACCTGAAATCCACCTCCTTCCCTCATTCTTAGCCTACCCGAAATCCTCATCACTTCCCTCATCCTTTGCCTACCCAAAACCCGAAACTTACTCCTTTCCTCACCATGGGCCTACCCGAATGCCTCACCATCTTCCCTAACCATTGGCCTACCTGAAACCCACTTCCATCCCTCATCCTTAGCTTACCTGAAACCACACACATACACCCACACCTCTTGCCTTCATCACCACCCAAAACCCTACCTAATTCACTCATTTTCCTCCTCTCTTCACCACTATTCAAAAATCTCAGCAAAATCTCCACTTTTTCCTCTTTTTTTAGCCCATCCGAAAGCCCTTAAAAAAAAAAAGAAAAAAAGAAAACCTTCATGTGGTTTATGGTACGTTCTCAATAGATTTTCATATGTTAGTTTATGTGCATGTTAAATCTCTATGTGGTGATATATGTTTCATGCAGGTCTTTATGTGGCGGTTTTTATCAGGACATCATTCTGAGTCGTGTTCTCCTACGAGTGTTCAAATGAGCTGCATCCATTAACCCTTATAAACTTACAAATGCACGGCTTATCTATCAATCATTGTATAAATTTAAACTCATTAAAATAATTGTTAAAATTATTCATGAATAAGTTTTCCTAATTATAAATCAAATCATATTTACATAGCATTAAAATACCATAATGAACTAAGGAAATGAGCTTAAGGGTCTTTCTAAAATCACTTGAGAGACTCTAGTGAGAAAAATCAAATTCTTAGTATAATAACCTATAGAAACAGTCACAGTGTTTTTTTTATAGCTATCGCATTGTAACACATTTACTTGTGAAAAAAAAATATATCATTCTCATTTTAAGAACTTCTGAAAGTTTATAACCCAATTTAAGTAACCCCAACTAAGTAATTTTGGGGCATTCACATACATGCCACACAATTTTTCTGTTTTTACATATCTAACTCCTAAACTTTCATATTTACGTATATAACACTCTAATCTTTAATATCACTTCAAAAATACCGGTACTGCTATCTTTTTATCACTTCTTCATGTATAGTTTCGTGACACCAAAGTGTTATAAAGATAATTATCAAACATTTGATATGTAAATACAAACGAATTGTGTGGTGTGTATGTAAATTTCCCATTAAATTTTTAAGCTTTTCTTAGCTTTTAGTAGGTTTATTTCCTTAAACTAAATAACTTTAATCTTAGTTAAGGCTTGAACCTATTATCACTTTGCTTAACTTAAACCCAATCAATAGGATTTCATAATTCATTAATCATAGAATATTTTCTATGCAGTGGTGCTTATATCATCAATCTTTAACATCAAAATTTTGTGAATGTAGAGATATAATTATGGAATACACGAGCCACATTCAAAGGTTAGGGCATCTTCTATTTGAGTTATTATCAGAGGGACTTGGCTTAGACACACAATATTTGAATGATTTGGAATGTGGCAAAGGATTGTCTCTTTTGAGCCACTATTATCCACCATGTCCTCAGCCAGAGCTGACTCTTGGGACAAGCAAACATACAGATCCAGATTTTCTTACTGTTCTTCTTCAGGATAATATTGGTGGCTTACAAGTTCTTCATGAAGATCAGTGGTTTGATGTACCTCCAATTCCTGGAGCTCTTGTCATTAATATTGGTGATCTTCTACAGGCAAGCATTATAATTTTGTTGATTTGACTTTTGATTTGTTTGGGCAGTCTTTTTTATAGTTCTATATTGGGGCATTTGCATAAATACTATTTTATTCCTTACTTTGTGTGTGTGTCTATATATATATATATATATATATACATTTTTTATATTTATATCATTCAAAATCTTTCACATGGATATGTCATCAACAAATTTCTTGCATCTGACATGAATCTCGAGTTAATTTTTCGAGGAAGAACTTTCAAACTTATCAAAGATAATCCATAACTCTTATTTAAGAAAACTTACAGTCAAATTGATCGACTTGACAATACGAATATAAGGATACCAACTTTAGTCTAATCTAAGTCAAATCAAGTCCTAATTGAGCCATTAAGTTATCATTGTTGCCACCTACTCCTTGCACGATCCCTTACAGAGTCACAACGTGGGTTGTGGAATCCCAACATATGTTGTGAAACAATTGTTGTGAGGTTTCCCTCATTTCTCGCAAAATACCTATCATTTTTCAAGAAGAAAAATATCGCGAACCATTGCCATGTCAGATCCTTTTTATGAATATCCATTCTCGTGCTCTTGAAAGACACTCGACTATGACATCAACTTCAACCCGCATTTTCTTAAGAAGTGACCCGACCAAGACGATTGTCGCCGTTCGATAAGTAAGTTGTGGGATGCTGACTTCAACAACTTTCAAAATATTGAGCAACTAGGTAGTTGACAAAAGTCGCAAGCTAACCCGCAAAATCATGTTGTCAAGCGCAACATATCCAGTGGGAGGGGAGCAAGCTCGATCATCCGGAGCAAAAATCCTAACCACTATATCATTCTGGAAGTAATACTTCTTCCAAAACATTATCAAATTAGCCTCTGTTATGGTTGACTTCTCCTTCTCTGGATTTTGAATCTTCCTCTAGTTTTTTGAGCGGTGGGGTTTACCAGACTTCGACATCTTTTAATGTGAAGAATCTCCTCTGGAATTTGCGATGGGGAAATTCAAAATTTTTCCTCAAGAAAGATTCTCTTCTGAAATACACGATGGAGAGACTTCAATTCTCTCCTCACCTTTTGGCCCTCTTTTAGGCTTTGAAGGACCTGAAATTTCCCTCTAGAATACACATTGGGGAGACTCTGGAATAGACAGTGGGAGACTCTAGATCTTTCTTCACTTTTAGAGCCTTACCTCACTTTTGGTTCTTTTTTATGGACTCTAAGGGCCCAAACTTACTTAATTTTTGGATATGATATAGTCCCTGAATCCCACCACCTCATCCATCGCTTGATACAAACCCTTAGATCCACCGCCTTCCTCGGTCACCCTGCTGCCTAAATACTATTGTACGGTCTAGAGCCTTGATTGTTGATGTGGCGGACGGATCGACTTACATACCCACACTACTATGTCAGCGCACAATGCCTTGTTGGTTCGCTTTGCAAGTCCACCAACCTAATCTCCAGCCTAGCCAACACGTGGCCAGTGACCCACCAAAGTGATGAATTTTTTATGTGATATGTGATGTTAAAGATTTGAGTGTTATACATATAAATATGAATGTTTAGTCGTTAGATATGTAAATACATAAGAATTTTTTGGTATGTATGTAAATGCCCCTTCTTTTCATTTGTTTTTTCTTGAACTTTGGTTCAGACTAAGGTTGATGATATAAAAATTTAAAATGATTTTATTTAATGATTTATTTTCGTTATTTAACGGTTAAATTCATTTGTGATGGTGTAGCTGATCACTAATGATAAATTTAAGAGTGTTGAGCATAGAGTACTTGCGAGAAAGATTGGCCCAAGACTTTCTGTAGCATGTTTTTTCCCCGCAAACTTCTATCTTTCAGAAAGGCGATATGGCCCAATAAAGAAGTTATTATCAGAGAAAAATCTTCCGAAATACAAAGATGTTACTGTAATGGAATATCACATTATTTTTTACTCAAAAGGACTTGATGGTAAATCTACATTAGACAAATTTAGGTTATGATTAATGTTATGGGCTCATTAATGTATGAGCTGTTTGATTTAATTGTATTGAATTGATTGTGATATATGGTGTAAATAATATATATATATATATATATATTTGCTTTGACATGCATGACATTCAATTGCTATTATTTACTTGTCTAACACTTGAAGCTTTTTTTTTTAACGTTTGTAGCATTCAACTCTTTCATATCACACCAAAAATATCACAATTTTACCTTTTAGAATGTGAAATACATCTTTTCATACATACAAAAGTGATTTTTATGTAAAAAAATAAAAGTTTTGGTGTTAGATGTGTAAATGCGTAGGAATTGAGTGGTATGTATGTAAATCTTCATGGTATAATATCATGTTAAACTAGTTTTTGTTTAACATGGAATTTCACATGGAATTGAGTGGTATGTACGTAAATGCCCCTTCTTTTCATTTGTTTGATTCAAAGTAAGGTTGATGATATAAAATTTAAAATATTTTTATTTACTAACTTATTTTCGTTATTTGATGATTAAATTCATTTCTGATGGAGTAGCTGATCACTAATGATAAATTTAAGAGCGTTGAGCATAGAGTACTTGCGAGCAAGATTGGCCCAAGAGTTTCTGTTGCGTGTTTCTTCTCCACACACGTCTATCCATCAGAAAGACAATACGGCCCAATAAAGAAGTTATTATCAGAGAAAAATCCTCCTAAATACAAAGGTGTTACTGTAAGGGAGTATCTAAATGTTTGTTACTCAAAAGGACTTGATGGTAAATCTGTATTAGACAAATTTAGGTTATGATTAATTCTTTGATATGTGATTTATATGTGTCCTCGTGAGGAGACTTTATTAATGTTATGGGATCATTAATATATGAATTGTTTGCTTTAATTGTATTGAAATGATTGTGATATGTAGTATAGATAATAAAGTTATACATATTGCATTAGCTTTGACATGCATGACATCCAAGTCCTATTATTTACTTGTCTACCGCGTAAAGCTTTTATTTTTGTCGTTTATAACATTCAAATCTTTCATATCACATCAAAAATGTCACTATTTTACGTTTTAGGAAGTGAAGTGCATCTTTTCATGCATGAAAAAGCTGTTTGGATGTAAAAAGTTGAAGCTTTTTGTGTTATATATATGTAAATACATAGACATTGAGCGGTATGTATGTAAATCTTTCATATTATAATATCATGTTAGACTAGTTTTTGTTTAACATGGTATATTCACATGTAACTATATTGTCTAATCTGCAAATATGATGTTGGAACTGAAACAAGCAGATATCTCTTCAAAATTATATTAAAAATATTATATACCTAATATTACAAATACTCCAAAAATAAATTAACATTGCACACTAAATAATAATAATAATAATAATAAAATACGAATTATGTTCTCATTATCTTATAAACTTCAAAAAAGTAGGTTCAATAAATAAAAGGAAGCCATCATATGTATAGCATAATTCAAACTCAAATCAGGAAAATGACATGTAATATTGTATATGTTAATTTATTAATATACATGATAGGAGTTTTATATGTTTTTCAGATATGATATATACAAATTGATGCTTCATCGATGAATTTTTTTTGTCTAGAATGGATCACAGGATATTTTTTGAGAAATAAATATTCAAAATTCAAATTCAAGATGAGTTAGTGCCTTGATTTTAACAAGCTTATAGTTAAACTGATTGTCTCGACAAACGAACTTGATGATATATGTATACAAAAAGAAAATTGACATGAATCTTAAAGCGAACAGACAGTCCAGGAAAAAGGGACAACTGACTGCAATCGCCGACAATTGCCAAATCAAATGCTGACGAAGGGAGAATGGGACAAACGACTGTTAAGTACCTATCGAACGACTTTGTCTCTCAGAACTACGACCGACTTTCTTTGACGAAGTAAAAAGGCCTGACAAATTATCGACGGGCTTTCCACGAAAAGCATTACATTTAAATGCTCTGAA